CTGTCATCCGCGGAAAATTCAAGGTCAAGATATATAGACCCAACGTCCGCGAAACATCATAAGACCAAATATAGACCTGTCGTCCGCGGAACATTTAATGACCAGATATATTGAGTTGTCGCCCGCGGCACATTTAATGACAAAATATATAGACCTGTCGTCCGCGAAACATTTAATGACCAGATATATAGACCTGTCGTCCGCGGAACTTTTATTGACCAAATATATAGACCATTCCACCGCGGAACATTATAGACCAGATATATAGACCTGTCGCCCGCGAAATATTTAATGACCAGATATATAGTCCGCGGAACATTTAATGACCAGATATATAGACCTGTCGTCCGCGGAACTTTTAATGACCTAATAAATAGTCCGGTTGTCCGCGAAACATTTAATGACCAGATATATAGACCTGTCGTCCGCGGAACTTTTAATGACCATATATATACCGGTCGTCCGCGAAACATTTAATGACAAGATAAAATTATATAGACCTGTCGTCCGTGAAACATTTAATGACCAGATATATAGACCCGTCGTCCGCGGAACATTTAATGACCAGTTTTATAGACCCGTCTTTCGCGGAACATTTAATGACCAGATATATAGACCTGTCCTCCGCGGACAATTTAATGACCGGATTTATAGAACTGTCGTCCGTGGAATATTTTAAGACCAGATATATAAACCGGTCGTCCGCAGAACATTTTAATAACCAGCTATATAGACCTGCAGATCCTTTAATGACCAGAAATATGTGTACATAGACCTGTCGTCCGCGGACCTTGGTCGGAGCATTATACGTGGGCAATTTGACGAAATAGCTATATTACAGAACCCGCAATTGCTGGAAAATTTTAACGCATTTATCTGTAGCTGAACTGTAACTTCCTTTTTATAATTCTCCGCCGTTTGTTTGCATCATTACGGGTGATAAATAATCAAACAAGGTATGTGTGAACAATTTTAATTGATGAGATATATTAGATGAGAACACATTGTCAATGTACGGGAAAGACAAAGTACGATAGGCAAAATGGTTTGAGAACATAATAAAATAATAAAAAATGTTAAATTTTGAAAGTTCTAAGACTGAATAGAATGTCCTTTACAGGGGCAATTCAACACTCTGCTAAAATGTCAAGACAGCTGGAGGTAGGATCGGTCACCAGAGTATCCACGTGTATTTGAAGCGGTTGCCTAGCAACATTACTCATCTGTACTTCACATAAACTCATTGAAAGCACCAAATCTCTCCGCCTTCACTAACCCAAGTCTTCAGTTTTACAAAGCATCCGATCCTGATACTAACTTGTGAAGTACAACAATTAGCCACGCCCTGAGCAGTCAGGCTGTCGTCATGTGCTCAGTTGTCAGGGCGGGACCACAATGTCAAATATTTGAAAGTGATGTCAGTGGATGCGTCAATGGAAATAAAAAGAAATATAACCTAATTCGGGAACAAATACCTAACCTGATAGCCAATGAATAAAGTCCTCTTTAAACTATGAATACTTAAAATTTGTAAATTTTAACATTTGTATTGTACTCTGACATTGGTTTAAAGGTAAATTTAGTATTTGTCTGACGTTAACTTTAATGTTGAACCTTTTGAAGCGTTCATTTAGCAATAATTGCTGTGCAATGTTAAAAAATAGCATTACTGTCGTGAAGTTTTTATAGGAGAAAATCCTATTGTTGTCTATTGAGCAAATGAGGTGACTCTTTCTAAAATGCGCAATTCATGGCTAATCAATTTGTCGAAATTTTGAGTTTATATTAAACTTTCCAACTGAGCTGAGATGAATGTTCAACGAAAAGTTTATAAACAGTTGCATGTTTATTTATCGAATGATATTAATACGATCGTATATAAGGTGAAAACCGAATCTTGTCACACATTTATGACCATGTAAGTTTTAAATAAGTTATAAAAACACAGAAGTTAAAAATTCATAGTTTGCGTTAGTATATCTATAAAACTTTTGTTGTTGTTTGTATTATCAAGTTTTTGCGTATTTGCTAATACTTAATTGCGTTTTTTCTTTTTTTATCTCATATTTGGTTCATATAATTTCCATTCGTCAAGCAGATGTTTCTTGTTTTGTTGTTGTTTTTTGTTATTTTTTGTTTGTTTGTTTTGCTGCATGATGTAAATGTTTTAAATTTAATATTGTCTTGGCTTGGCTATATTTTTGAAATTGAACAAACATATTATTTGTGCCGATTTGTCAACACGCCAATACTCTGAAGTACGAGGATTGATGAAAAAGTTCTTGGCCTGATGTACTTCCGGTAGTCAGAAAACCCAACATATGGTCTTACTTTTATATAAAATCGCCCTCTACATCAATGCACTTTGCCCACATGTGCTCAAACTTGTTTAACCTTTAAAATAGAACTCTCTATTTTGGCCTTCAAAGAACTCATTGATCGCCTCAATACAGCTTCATTGATTCCAAACTGTATACCACGAAACTTGGTTTTCAGTTTCGGAAACAGGTAGAATTCAGATGGGCCGGAGTTTATTGGGGATGAGGAAGAATTTCAAAGCCGCAAACAGTTGCAGCAGCAATTGCAACTTGAGATGAGTTAACTGGCGCATTGTCGTGCAAGAGCAGAGCGCCTTGGGTCAATTTACCACGTCTTTTACTCGCGATTTCTTGACGTAGACGTCTCAATTCGTCTGCATAGTACAGTACCGTTTATGGTACGACCTTGCTCAAGATAGCCAATCATGATTGTCCCTTGACTATACAAAAAAATTTGAAGCCATCACATTCTCTGCTGATGGCACCCTCTAACAGGAAGTCTTCGTGGATTTCCTTGCAGAGGTACATAATGATGAATCTGATTTCAATTTTCACCATTTAGTCTAAATGACACACCCCTCTACTGATCAAAGTGTGTTTTATGTTACTTAATCTGTGTAAAACAGCGTATAACTCGGTCAGTTATCGTCAATAAGACATCGTCGTCGAAGTATCGTGTGTAAATGTCAGAGTAGTGGCTATAAGTATATCGGGCCGAGAACTTTTTGATTTTGATCATACCTCGTATAGTCCAATGCAAGCAGATCCACTTATTACATGTTAATGAAATGCAAGCTACTCCGCATATATCGTGTTAATCGAATGCACGCTGCTCCGCATATTTCATGTTAAACGAATGCTAGCTGCTCCGCATATTCCATGTTAATCGAATGCAACCTGCTTCGCATATTCCATGTTAATCGAATGCAAGCTGCTCTCCATATTCCATTATAATAGAATGAAAACTGTCCCGCATATTCCATGTTAATCGGATACAAGGTATTCCGCATACTCCATTATAATAGAATGAAAGCTGCCCTGCATATTCAACTATAATCAAAGGCAATCTGCCCCGCACATTGATTATAATCGAATGTAAGTTGCCCTGCATATTCCGTTTTATCGAAATGCAAGCTGCTCCACGTATTCCATGGCAAGCTACTCGATGTATCTATAACCCTAAAACACATAGTTTACCGCATTAAGTGACAAACTTTGCGTAGGTTAGCATTTTAAGGTCAAATTAGTCAAAATATAGATAATTAACGTGTAGAAAAATATATGAGAACCCTGAAACCTATTGAGAAAAGCCAACTGGATATGAAAAAGAAAATAAGAATAAATGAGAAGATACTGTTTAATAATAGTGCAACACATCAAACACAGAGTCGTGATGAAATAAAGAAATACAACTTGTATGTTAAAATGTTCAAATAAGATACGAAACACGCATCGTTTGTCTTATTTTGACCTGAAAAAGTTCGTTTGGTCCAAACGTGGTCTTAATTGCAACAAAAAAATAGGGAATATAGTAGTGTCTATGAATTTAATGAAATACCTAACATATTTTATATTATTACCCCTCACTTTATCCGTAATGTTAATTTCCCATAGGCCTCTGATAGTTATTCTTACCGTTAATGCAAGGATGGCAAGTGACTAAGAATTTTGTACTGTTTCATAGATAACAGAATTTTTAACAGTATAAATCTGGTCACGTGGTCTAATTTCAAAATAAAATGAAATAAAATGGAAGCCATTTTTCTCTCGATTCATTCTTATTTTCGACGATAGGGCCTAGGACATCACCAAAGTAACTATGACTCTCATAAAATTTAGTTCTTTGCACCCTAGAGTTATTTTCGCGTATAAAATATCTTTTTGTTGAATAGTCAAAAAGTAAACATCCGATGGAAGTAATTGTAATATGAATAATTTTGTTTCAAACCACAGGAGATTGACATTCTATCAATAATTGAAAAATATAAGCAAATAATTAAAAAATAACGGCAAATGTACTCTCTATACCATAAATAAAGTATACAGTAGAGGGGTATGTTAGCCGTTATTTGTTTAATTATTTGCTTATAGAATGTCAATTTCCTGTGGTCAAACTGGAATATGCAGATGATTAAAGCATGCAACAAAGGATTATTTAACAATTTTAACAAGTGAAACGTTACAGATAGAGTTTGTGGACAGACATCTGTAGGATATCATCGTTATTTTGTAAATGCACTTTGTCAAAAACCATGCGAAGAGTATTCTGGATACAGAAGGATCAGATTTTACAGATCATAACCTTATAAATGGGTTAGTGTTTTGTTTTCAAAATAAAACACAGCTTATTGTATGTTTATGACTGGTAGATATCATCACTTGCTTAAAGAATAAAAGAAAAACAGCTTCTCAAGTAGGCCTACAGTACACTTAAAACTTGCAACGTAATGACAGTTTAGTTATTGCTACTCTTGGTTTATTTTTGTTACAGTTAGATTTAGTTTACAAATTCAGATCATCACAGTATTTGTTCGGGGTAATAAAATAAATAACACATGGGTTTGAGTGTAACAGTAAAAATATCATCCCGAGGAAAATATTGTTACCCGAGGCGTAGCCTCAACTGTTATCCACAAACCCATGTGTTATTTATATACTATCATTTTGAAGCTTTTCAAATGTTTATATATCATTTAAAGGTATTTCACAGAGGAATAGTTTATCCATATTCGATGAAGGTGACCAGTCAAAGTTCCTATTTTTATTCATTTTTATTGCGGGCTTGCCAGATTCCGGTTGGCCTTCAGCCCATTTGAAGTATGTCATCGGTACACCATTACTAAATTTCCAGTCGGATCCGCTCGGATCGTTTCGATATCCATCTATGATAACATTGTCTCCTTTGTGGAACTTTTCTGAAAAAAAAACAATAAGAAAAAATGCATTATTTGTGTGTAATATAATTGTAGAATCTAAATTGTAATCGTACAACAACTAACAATTTTCTGCAATTGCCCACCTCTATATTAGGGCTTCACACAAATCACGTGATGATGGTCTTATTACATGATTGTGTTAAGATGGCGGATACGCCACAGAATTGCAGAAATCGTTGAATAATTGTTTTATCTGTGATAAACAGCGACATTACAACTTAAGCTCTGGTGCCAAGTCTATTCATGTACTGAATAAAAAAAATCATTTTTGTTAAGACAGTGTAGAATCGAAATTATTAATTGAATGATTTCTCTTTCGAAAGCGGTCATGCATTGATTTGGAAATAAACGTTGCGATATTAAAAATATTTTCATAATATTTATGTTTCCGAAATTATTTTTATTTTAGTTCACATCTAACACCTTAAGGTCTTGAAACATTAATAAAATTGTGTTACTTTTTATAAGAAATATCAAAATTAAAAAAAAAAAGTTATATGATGATCCTGTTAGGGGAGATCACTGCGTGGGAGATTGATGATGGCGCAGACTGACACCGATTATGTCAAACTGCAATACCGTTATAAACATATATGTTTTGAACATCGTTCAACAAGTTTGGAATCAAACGCAACCAATAACAATATGCTCGAATATAAGATAAACATAGAGTACCGTTAATACTCTTTTGAACACAGGTATGTATTTTCTCGGCAATAATTTTTCATATTTAGACAAACTGGCGCATTTAACGGTCTGACGCACAAACAGAATTATGAAGACATATCTTTTATTCGACCGATATAACCTGGATAACCTTCAAACGTCCTCCGTAAAGCTTGATCTAATTTTAGAGGATAAAACTTCAACATCGGCTGGCTCGAACTATTGATTTCTCGAACAAATTTGCTCTGGCCCTTGAGTTCGAGGAACCAAGTTTGACGGTATTACAACTTTACTTATCATTGGACTGATGCAATGTGCTATCGTGACTAATGTACCTTCCAGTTTGAAAATGAAATGTCTGTGAATCAAATATTTTTTTAAAAACATATTCCTGCTTCGATATTGGTTGTCAAAGTATACACTGATAAACTGATAAAGTCTAGTATTTATCAATCTCAGAAATTGGATCTACATACCCATGAAAGCGACAGTAGTGGCGTGTTGTTTGTCGTTCTGTATTCTAAGAATACGTCCACCAATTGATTCACAAAGCACATTCGCAGTATCTCTGCTTAATCTTGTGTCGGATAACATTTTGAAGCACATATTTGTATCTTGATAAAAATGAAACCCAAGAGATGTAGGGCACGACGGCTGTTTCATAGACTTCACTGAATTAAAGAGTAAAAAAATAACTTTTTTTTCAAATTGAAGATCCTGATGCTCCAATGCTCTACCCTGTTTCAGGGGCATGGCGGGGGTGGGATGTGATGCGCTTTGCCAACGAATCCAGCCTATTGCTCGAGGAATATTCATAAATTAATCCCTAATGAAGTAGAATTTTGTTATCATGTATATTATAATATGATATGAATGTGAAGAAATAACAACATTATTATAGTTTTCGTCGTGGAAGGGGTGGGGGTATGTAACATTCTATTTATTTGAGGATTATTAAAATAGCATGTTCATTTTCAGGGATTTTTAATTTTTCGTGGTTTTCACGGATGATTTGCTCCACGAATTTAAAAGCTGCATGTTCGTGATGACCTGGAGAAACGGACCTGGAGAAAAATATTCTAAGTTTTTACAGAAGAGTAAAGATATCCACCATTTCAAAATAATCAATATATCGTATGCAATAAATGACTGATGTATATACTACCATATCTTTTCTGCGTCGCTAACGCTTTGTTGGCTATTTCTCCATGTTCTGATCTATGTTTGGTAATATTCGTAATAAGCACATACCAAACTGTTTAAAAGTATCGATAAAATACCTCACTTTTCATCGGATAACCAATACGTTTGTATAGTTTTATAAATTCGGCTGCGGTCAATCTTCTAAGAAATCTTTTTTTTTCAAAAGAAAGTTTTCTGTATAACTATACATCCGTTATAAATATTTCTGACGGGTTATATGACCGTATATAAACAGTTGTTTGCAATATAACTCTCGCCGAGCGGCTCGGGTTATATTTCTAAACAACCGTTTATATAGGACCATATAACCTGTCAAATATCTTTATAACTTATAGTATAAACTGAACACCGCATTAAAACAGCTTAACACATAAACATGTTTGGCATATATGTTCCGAACGAAATATTAAACATACCTATGTATTTCCACCCGGCTTCTCCGTTGACATTATTATCGGTTACGTTGCCGGAGATTCCTGTTACGTTGTCGGACACAAGACGACACTCTTTCGTCAAATCATTTTCAAAATATGCGGAGCACTGTGGGTTTCTATGACAACTCCGCGAGCAGGTTAACGGATTTCTTTTTGCAAGCACTTCCAGAATGTTCACAGATCCATTGCCCTGATTGACGGATTCCGTTTCAGTATACACATAAAACTCAACGCAAGACGAAGGAAATGGTGTCATTAAAATTATAATGTACCATAAAATTTTGGAACTCATTTTTCTTTTTAACTTTTCAAAAACAAATGAAACTTGATCAACGCATATGGCATGTTAAACGTTGCAATATTCGATGAATTAATTTTTGTTCTGTAGCCAATATTTATATTGTATAACTCTAATGTTGGTTTAAACATATTTATTTAAACTCGATTGCGAAACAAGTTCTTGCAACTTAAATTAATCACTTTCGAGAATTAATCACTTTCTAATTTAATATTCTATACAATACTATTTATTCAACCCTGCTGAATATTTGTTCATCATAAAGAATATTTGTGTTCGATAATTTTCTGTATGTATGTTCTTTATTTGAAAATATATATTGTGTAATTAAAATATTTATGGTATAAATCTACTGAAAATAATTATTCGATAATTCGATAACATGGGATAGAACACTTAGCATACTAAGCCCCGCCTATAAAGTAAGCACGAATGTCTGATAAAGCGTTACCATCCTGATTAAACTATAGTGTAGTGGAAATGATCAGCGTCCATGTGAATGTCGCTTGTAAATAGTATGGAACAGAATTAGTGCAATTATTCCATCTTGCTTTATGATATCGGGACTTACATTATGCTTGCTTCTATACTTCTTTATGACAATGAAAACCTGCATTTTGCTGAACTCAATCATGCCTTATGATTACTGAATGCACTTCCATGTAATTGCAACCTTATGTGTTCCCTACTAAACCATCAAACTCACATATTTTAATATACTATATGCTTAATCGCATCTTTTATTAAGGAGAAAGTATTATGTTTGGTGTTTAAGATAACATTCTTTGCTTGTTCTTGATATAACTATATGTAACATGGTAAGTTTCTGTCAGTACCTTTAATTTGCTATAAATCTGCCACTTATATTGTCGACATTATGTCACAATTAATTATTAATTTCGATCAATAATTGGCGAATTTGATGTGTCTTTGCATTCTTATGCTTTAATATATTCACTGATTACAAATATAATGCAATACATGATCACTGCGCATCGACAACGAAGATGACAACGATAGCTTTTATAGTCGCATGTCACAGTACGCACTAAGCAGTTGGCAGTAAGCATAATGCGAGCTGCAATAATTTGTGTTCATATTATGACAGCAGGTGTCGCTTTGTCGGTACATCCCGTTATTTTCCGGATGATCCCGTATTTTGGCACGCGGAGTAAACAAAGTTAAGTCCCCTTTATACAGGGGCGTATACAGAACAGTGTTAGTTGGAGCCTGACATGTAAAGGGAAAATTTACTGAAAAACAAGAGAACACGATGCGACAGACGAAAAGTGCGTGTTTTTGAAGATTCCGCCAGCATGTGGAAAAAAATGTTATAGATTTCTGTAATAACTCATCCTACAAACGGCAACTCACCTCACAATTGTTTACACTTCTTTTTGAGCGTGTACACGTGATAGTCGTATGAGCAATAGTGAAATTGAATTTTAAGATATACTATGCTCAAACTTACGGTGGCACAAAGGTGACATGTGTGTGTTTTTATTTATCTCGTGCGCACGAAATACTGTGTCGTGGCCACGGGTTACTAAGTCGTGGCCATGAGATAATTAAGTCGTGGGAACGAGATACTATGTTGTGGCCACGAGTTACTAAGTCGTGGCCACGAGATAATTAAGTCGTGGGAACGAGATGACTAAGTCGTGGCCAAGAGTTACTAAGTCTTGGCCACGAGATAAATAAGTCGTTGGAACAAGTTACTATATCGTGGCCACGAGAAAGTTTACAAAATGACCAATTCTATTATAGAATTGTCCCAACAAAGGGCTATAACTTAGTCAGAATTAATGTCTGATTTATGGGCCTTATAATCCTAAAGACATGTATCAAAATCAAAGTGAACACTTCAGTATTTTCAAAGATTAATGTTGCACGTAAATCTTTAAACAGAAATTTTCTAAGTTTAGAAAATCATGGTGTAATCTGATTTAATTATCTCGTCTGCACGACATAGTTATCTCGTTCCCACGACTTAAACGACTTAGTAACTCGTGGCCACGACTTAGTACAGTACAAACTAAATTTTTTTCTATAAAATAAAATAAATATAATTTGGCTTCACACAAATATTGTGCTTTAAATCCTTTACACTGTAAGTGGGCAGTATGAATATACATGTATAGTGTTATTACAAAAAAATATATGGAAGTTTCTTTTAAAGACAGACACAACTTTACTAGACCCGTAATAAGGAAAGCAGATTCCTATACATTCTGGTATGTGTTTTTATTTAAATAAAACATATTTAGTGAAAATTTTATAGATTTCAAAATAATTTCTGTGATAAAAATATGTTACTGAAAGATGTGCGTAGTATATCATTAAGCACAAATGTATGTGAATGTGGTGGTATGTGCGGGATGTCTGATCTATAATCAGACACACATATGCCCAACATTTGAGCCGCGCGTCACGACAAAACCAACATAATAGGTTTGCGACCAGCATGGATCCAGACCAGCCTGCGCGTCCGCACAGTCTGATCAGGATCCATGCTGTTCGCTTTCCAACTCTTTTACAAGTAGAGAAACCGATAGCGAACAGCATGGATCCTGATCAGACTGCGCGGACGCGCAAGTTGGACTTGATCTTTGCTGGTCGCAAACCCATTGTATTGGTTTTGTCGTGACGCGGCTCATTTGTAACTGACTATGCACATGTAACAAAAATAAACAACTTCCTTTTTTCCTCATTATACATGTATATCTTAATGTGTTACATACCTATTCGCCACTATTAGTGACTCTGAGACATTTATTAAGTTAAAAGGTCAATAATTTTTGCTTTTTAATGTCCAAGTCATCAGATAAAGACCTTCGCAGTACCTGTAGGCAGGTGCTTTACAACTGGATGACAGCATAATATGTTTTGGTAAGGGAGTTCTATTTGGTAGGGAGAAGACTATTGCATGAAACTGACACGTATATATTCCATCCCAGCTCATAAACGTATATTTTGGGGTAGGTGCAGCCCTTAAGCCAGGGCCTGAATCCGCCACTGTACGTGTTACTGCCCCATTAAATAACTGTTTACGAGCATATTTTTTCTATTAGACTGTACACATATATAAAATTATATTGCATAATCCTTTACTATACTTGTATTTATATTCTTTCAACTGCAATTTATGTATTAAGCGCTTAGTACGTATTTATATATACATGTACGCAGTATCTATACGGAAAATTCCGATAATAGGCGAATCGTGGAAAAAATCCGTTGATATCGATAACAGAGTTCTCGCCCCTTAACAGTTCACAAATCGCTAGACATAGATTTAATTGTTTATCATAATGTAAGATGATCAAACATAATCCACAAAGCCTCATACACCGAGCTTTATTAAGCAATAATGGATATAAGCGAAAGCTAATAGTAATCACGCCATGCGAGCTATAAATCAAATAAGTCACATTTTAACAAATCTATCAGGGAACAAAAAATGAAATCCAGCATAATGCAAAGTTTAAATATCATAAAGCAAGATGTAATAAAGCATAATGTAAGTTCCAATGTCATGTAGCAAGATAGAATTAAGCATAATGCAAGTTCCAATGTCATCAAGCAAGATGGAATCAAGCACAATGCAAGTTCCAATGTCATCAAGCAAGATGGAATTAAGCATAATGCAAGTTCCAATGTCATCAAGCAAGATAGAATAAATGCATTAATTCTGTTCCAGAACAGAATTAATGCATTTATTCCATCTTGCTTTATGATATCGGAACTTACATTATGCTTGCTTCTATACTTCTTTATGACATTGAAAACCTGCGTTTTGCTGAATTCAATCATGCCTTATGATTACTGAATGCACTTTCATGTAATTGCAACCTTGTGTGTTCCCTACTAAACCATCAAAGTCACATATTTTAATATGCTATATGTTTAATTGCAGCTTTTTTTAAGGACAACGTATTATGTTTGGTGTTTAAGATAACATTCTTTATAACTATATGTTAACATGGTAGTTGTGTATCTTTAATTTTGCTATAAATCTGCCACTTATATTGTCGACATTATTGTCAAATTAAACTATTCATTTTGATCAATAATTGACTGATTTGATGTGTCTTAGCATTCATATGCTTCAATATGTTCACTGATTACAAATATATAATGCATTACATGATTACTGCGCATCGACAACGAAGATGACAACGATAGCGATATTATAGTCGCATGTGACAGTACGCACTAAAAGCCAGTTGGCAGTAAGCATAATGCGAGTTGCAATAATTTGTGTTCATATTATGACAGCAGGTGTCGCTTTGTCGGTACATTCCGTTATTTCCGGATGATCCCGTATTTTTGGCACGTGGAGTAAACAAAGTTTAAGTCCACTTTATACAGGGGCGTATACAGAACAGTGTTAGTTGGGGACTGACATGTAAATTTACTGAAAAAAACAAGAGAACACGATGCGACAGACGAAAAGTGCGTGTTTTTGAAAGATTCCGCCAGCATGTGGAAAAAAAGTTATATATGTCTCTAATAACTCATCCTACAAGTGGCAACTCACCTCTTATACAATTGTTTACACTTCTTTTTGAGCGTGTGTATAAGTGCAAATTGAATTTTATCAAACTTAAGGTGGCACAAAGGTGACATGTATGTGTTTTTATTTATCTCGTGCGCACGAGATACTGTGCCGTGGCCACGGGTTACTAAGTCGTGGCCACGAGATAGTTAAGTCGTGGGAACAAGATACTATGTTGTGGCCACGAGTTACTAAGTCGTGGCCACGAGATAAATAAGTCGTTGGAATAAGTAACTATGTCGTGGCCACGAGAAAGTTTAGTTGTGGCCAGATTCCTATACATTATGTGTATGTATTTTTTTTAAATAAAACATATTTAGTAAGAATTTTATAGATTTCAAAAAATTTCTGTGATAAAAATATATTACTGAAAGATGTGCATAGTATATATTTAAGCACA